TTATTGAAATTTCACGCACAATAGACTGCAAAGAACATACAGAAACCATGTATCTAAAGAGTTATACAAAAGCTAACCCCCGAGAGTACACGCTTGAGATGCTAATTGTGCCCCCTTCAATTGTTAGCTCCTCCTGCTGATTCAGAGCCACACCAGTAATGGGGCATTCAGTTGATTGTGCATCAGACACAGGCCCCTGAAGAGGATGGGAAAATGCATCATCAATAGGGACAGGAACCGGAATGCCTGCCTGCAAAGGCATGGGCATGGCCATTGCCTTGCATGGTAATTCAGGTTGTGGATCCATTGCTTTACAGGAGGCATCCCTGCTCGGGTCAGATTCAATTGGGTTCTGTATGTTTGTGTGCATGGTAGGAGTGATGGTGATGTTATTCTCGTCAAACCTCCCAGGAAGTGTTGAACCTGGACCAGAACCATCCTTTATTGGTTGAGGATGACCAACCAGACCCTGAACACGCCAGTGACTATTCCTCTGTCTCAAGCAAAATAAGAGATAAGTGCTCAATTAGTCACTCAAGACATAACTCAACAGACACATATAACCAATATTCAACTGCATTCTTCAAACAATATTATTCTTTACTGAACAAAGCTCTAGCAGTGGACTTGTGCTCTCCCCTTGATGAACAAGAGGGAATATTGGCTTTAATAAGAAGGGAAAAAAGCAGTAGAAACAAAAAAAAACACTGGCACGTCTGATCCCAAGGAAACCCAATATAAGCCCCCCAAAACATAAGAACTCAAAAGCAAACAGCAAAAAAAAAAAAAAAAAGCACAAAGAAAAAGAATGGTGCATTAAAAATTATTACACCGAACATCAAGGAAAAGATTAACAGGTTCAAAGCCACAAATTTGAAGAAAACAAAAAGTACATACAAAATCAGGACAAGCCAAAGTAAATAATCCAGTAAAAGGTTAACTCCACTCGTATTGCTGTTCTATCTGGTTTCTCCTTTTTTTTGTTAATTCTTAACAAAAACTATAATGCAGAATCGGCCACAAAAAACATCTTCATACGGTACCAGTGGGTGGCATTAGAAATATAATAGGCTGATGTAAACCCAACATGTTTCAACTTACTTCACAAGTAACAAGGAAACCTCAATCTTCATCTTCTTTGTTTATGGGGTGTGATATTTTTTAACTTCTACCTCAGAAAGATATTTCATATTCTAAGTTTGTGACCTACCTGAGTGCCTATATATACACGTCATATTTCTTTGAGAGTATATTTGATGAATACAACGATCTACACACATTACTAGAGCTAAATTTAAACAAATTTGGTACCATTAAGTAAGTAAACTAATTTACTAAACACAGGATATATATTTATGGTAGGACAAGTGTAGAGTCAGTTTGGCTCATAGAATTCCATCCCGGAATGTAAGGTTCTCTGTCCATCTATAATTACACAGATCAATAGCATCTTTGATGATGTTGCATTTGACATCAGCAAATGGGCATTTACTCCCACAAAATAAAGCAGATAACCAAGTATATGGACACTTAATAAGACCAAGTTCTATCCTACAACACAGATTATTATCTGATTTAACCTGCAAGTCTATATATAATTTACTTGACCACTGAATATACCATTCGCCAAAAAATGGCTACGCAGGTGAACCCCGTATATTGACACTTTATAAGGTCGCTAGCAAGACTTTACCCAGGGCATCAGCTTTGTAGGCTCTGAACTCCAACCTTGGTATGATCCCTCGTACTTTTGCACCTTTTCCTGTAGATACTGGACATACTCAATTACCTGCATCTTAGACATCAACAATCAGTAAAAAAATTCTGAACCAGAATAAGTAAGAACAAAAATGAAAAGAATGGAGCATATATTCTATTTCAATTCATATACCTCCACCAGGAATGATGCTGTATCCCTCTTTTGATCACTATGGGGTATCAGATCTCTTAATATTTGAAATCTGAACGAGAAACATGAAAGTACATTAGGTACAGAAAATAGAGCTCTTAGGAGTTGGAAAAGTGATTGACATCACATTCAGAAGTCACAAGAAGTTTTCAAACTGGTCTTCGATTTTGTGATAAAGCAATGCAGTATTTGAACAGTGCTCACCAAAATGATTGCATGCAACCACCAGTTGATTAATTAATTTTTGCAGCAAAAAAATAAACAATGACCTTTAAAGATGGAGTGTGCGGCCTTCAAGAATATCAACTTTTTCATGCTTCCAACATGCATCACCAGTGCTTCACACAACTAAAATCACTGTGACACTATCTTATTGATAAGGGTGGACAAAGAAGTCAACAAATGAAATAGATATCTCACCAATGATGGCCCAGTATTACACATTAACAGCATCAAGTAGCTAGCTATTTTATTAAAACTAATCAATGCACGACTATCAGCAAAAATGTAGAGATACCCAGATCACTCACACAAAACATACAACTCAACACAACTCAACTAAGTTTTGTCCTAACTACTTTGGATCAGCTACATAAATCTTGTTCCATAATTGGACTCCATAATATTCATATTTTCAATTAAATTGCACAGTATAGTTTCTTTTCTTACCATCTCATTCAATGTAATGACTGTCTCTCCATGTTAAGTTTTCTTCCATTACTGCAGTAAATCTCTCTCTTAGGTTTAATCTGAACCACTGTCAAGGTGGAGTATATCAAAATTCTAGCATTAACAATATATAGTCCTTAAGCCAACCGCCAGACATGGGCATCCTCCACAAACTGAATATCTTATATTAGACCCATTTACTATTGGTAAATTAGAACAAAATTCTTCTAACAATAATTCAAATTTTAAAAATTGGTAAATATACAAAATGACACAATCGTTGGTTAGCAGTAACATCAGCTAATACTAACGGTTCAAATGAAAACATACATATAAAGAGTACAACACATATGATGATACAATAGTATGATGCGTGATGGGATCATGCCTCTCATTAATCTTGCTCCTTCGACGCTGCTCTGTGACTGAATGCTTCGACCGTATTGCATTAGCCTTATCACTGCTCTTCCCATCTGCTTCCACAATCACCCAAAAAAAAAAAAAACCCAGAATATAAAACACAGTTCTCAAATCAAACACAAAAAACAAGCAAAAAATACAGGCTTGTGTATGTGAATTTCTCAACCTTTGTTGCTATTAGAAGATGGGGCATCTTTCTTGGAACCAAACTCCTCGTCTTCCTCTTCTTCTTCTTGATGGGTCTTCACCGATTTCATTCTCTGTAATGATTTCCTGCACAAATTCAAAAAATTCAAGAAACCCGCAAAGAATTGACGAACAAATAGGCTCAATAGAACTCAAGAATCAGAGATCTATCAATTAATTTCGGGAAAAAAAATGAAGGGTAAAATGGAAATAGATTACAACTTTTTGGGGCAATTGATGAGAGAGAATTGGAGGTGTTCCAAGTTGGGGGATTTTGAGAATGGGTTTGGGTTCTCCGGCGGTGACCACCTCACTAACTACTCCACCGGCCTATAATGGGAGAGAGGGATTGAAAACTGGCTTTCTTTTTCATCTCTCATTAGTCACGTGACTTAATTCACAGAGTGGGTAATAGAGCACGGCTTGGGTGAGGGCGCCCTCATGTTTATCCCCTGAGCTGCCTTACTCTTTCTAGTTTCTATTTTCTTTTTCTTTTTCATTTGGTTATTTAATTACTTTTGTTTTTGTTTACCAATTTACCAATATTACTAAAAGCCTTATCAACTATCACCCCATAATTTTTTATGACAAATTGGTTATTTAAACTCAAATTCAATTGTTTCCTGACTCTACATGATATGAAATTATAATATGAGTTACTATTTTTTGAATATTCGAATCTAAGTCTAAGCACGAAGCTACATTAGGACCCTTCAATTTTGGGTCTTCTTTATTTATGACATAATTTTTATTATAATTCTGTTAAAATTGATTAGTTTGTAATGTTCAGAAGGTTCCCACTGACTGAAGTTTGAATTAGTTGAAGGAAATGATTCTTTTGGCTTGATTGATTTAACAGGAGAGGAGAGTCTTGACTGCGAGGGAAATAGGGGCTCGTAAGTAACAAGCAATGAGTTACGCGAAAATCACGTTAGCGCTTCCGTTTTATTGTTTTTCTTTGTTGAACTTTAAACGGTCTACCCTCTTCCTCTATATTCCAATTCTAACATTTGTTATCAGAAATTAAGAAAATTATATATTTAGTTTTTTTATTCAAATTTTATTTAGGCTAAATAAAAACTATTTTATTTGTTTCATATATTAATTTAGTCTTGAATTTTAATAGATTTTTTTTTTTGTATTAGCTGATGAATTTTTTTCTAGTTATATTTTATCTCCCTTGGGCAAATTTCTAGCTCTGCCTTTATCCAAGTCTAAGAGTAAAAAATAAGGCCATTTTAATAAGGGGAACCATAACCCCAAATATTTTAGACATTATATTCTTGCCTTTTGGTCTTTATATTATTTTTTACAATATTATAAAGTTAACCCGTTTAATAGGTAAGAAAAATTAATGTTCTGATTGTAATTATGTAGATCAAGTTCAGAATTGCAATACAAAATTGTTGGACATGTGAAAACCACTTTGACAAAATAAGAAAATATTGTCCATGAAACACGGATACGAATACGGAATATGGATACGGCAATACGAGTCTAAAAAAATAGGATACGAGTACGGCTAAAATACGGCTATAATAAAAAATATTTAATATTTTTATTATTTTCAACTAACTTAACACTTATATATTTTGGTAGTTCTTTAATATATAATAAAAAAAATTAGTAATTCTTTTTAGTTTCAATAAAATATATATTGTGTCGTTGTGGTATATTCACAAAGTGAAGTAATTAATTAAAGAAATCAAAACTAATATTTACCTAATATTTAGAAGTTATTTTTGCTAAGATTATAATGTAATAACTTTATTTTATACTCTTTTGACATGTAATTGTAGATAATACTTAAAAAACTCATGTGTCTTTGAAGTGTTATGAAATTTTTGTTAATGTTATTGTATGATATGTAAATTCGAAAAGAGATGTTAAAAGTTCAACTAAAAAATTACATATATTGTTCTATTACAAAAATATCCGTGAAATATCATAATATTTAATTATTATCGGATACGTAGAAGATGTATCTGATACATATCCTCGAGTATCGTATCTAATACGGTATCGAATGCGGGTACCTTAACTTCAATAAAGTATCCGCGCTTCATAGTTGCCCATTTTGTTTCTAATTTCGAACAATTTGCAATACCAATGGCAAATGACAAGAAATTCAAACAAAATGAATCATTCTCTACTATGAAAAAAAAAACATGTTTTCTCCTTTGCTTATCTTGGGTTAATTGCCAATGTGATATTTAAAGTACGTTGTTCGTCTCATTTTGATCTCGAACGTTATATTGTATCACATTAGTCCTTAATGAATTCAATGATAGATGGACTTTCAACATATAAATACCTATCTTGCTTGTTATAAGAAATTAATATCCAATTTGATCACGCGATTAGTGTCAATGTTAAAAACAAACGAGTCGGATATGATCCCGCCTCATTTTTCAAAGCAAATCGCTTAATACAGTTCTATGCCAACAATTGGTATCACATGAATTTTCGACCAAATCATTTGACCTAAATACATCAATCGAAGTCAAAACAGTTGCAACTTGAACACTGATAGTGTACCATGTCAACAACATATAATTAGGATCGACACGTTACATCAATCTAAACCCTTGCATATAAACTGGGAAAAAAATCGAACAAAACGAGTAAATTTTCCACGGAACCCTATCATCATCGACACGTTACATCACCGGACACATGAGCATGGACCATGGTGACCACCTATAAATCAAAACAAAAGGTCAAGAAGAAAGCAAAATAGAAGGTAACTCAAATGAATGATCAGTACCCCCTTAGTGTCGGCACAATCCAAACGCTTGGCACCTTGAGCTCCCGTGAAGTATCTAAATTAGAGTCTTTTCAAACTGTAATCGTCGAAGCTGAATATCCACAAGTCATTACTCATGAAAGCTGCATACTGTCCAATCATGAAAGAAGGATCTAAGAAGTATATGGAATTAGGTCGGCATCCTGGAAAGTTAGAAGCAAAAACAGCCATTGAATGGTTATCACTTAAGAATAAGGTATCACCACCAAGGCTTTCCAGTTCAACCCTCTCTGCCTCTCCGCTTGAACTGAACTGTAGTTTGAAAATCCTGAAGGTGGAAGTCCGTTTTTCACCATAGCCGCTCCGAACTATATACCTATGAATCAACATTAGATCACCTGCCGATGATTCTACAATATAAGTTGCTTTCGGACGATCTGACTTTCTTGGCACAACCACCTTTACGACGGATGATGACGAAGATAAATTGCTATCACTAATGTCAATGGATACAACCATGCTAGAACGGTCTACAACATATATAAGACCTCTATAACTAAGGAAATCATAGAAAAATTGGTGTCGTATGTTAAGAAACCTCCAACTTTTATCACCGGATTTAATGTATGCCAACTTTCGAGAACTACCATAGATTGCAACAACTGCATAATCATTAGGAAATAAAATAGGGTCAGCCGTGAGTGAAGCCTTGACAACTTTGTACTCAACCAAAGTACGAAAATCAACCTTCTCGAATCCAATTTTCGGGAGTGGTACAATGGGGGGTAGTCGGATAGTCCCACGAGTGAAAGGATTGATGAGGACTAAATCCTTGTGTTCTTCTACAGCGAAGAGCCAACCATGTGAAGATCCAGCAATTCTCTTCTTGTCAGAAATTGCAATTTTGAAATTGTATTCTCTTTTATCTGTGACACTGTATAAACTATTCCTTTGGTCGGAGCTGCCAGTATTACGAGGAGGGAGAATTAGCAATGGTATTTGGTTGTGAATGGTGGTGTTGAGCCGACGGCGAAGAACCGCAACAGAGAGCCATGATTTGCAAACAACACTAAACCGGACGTAGTCCGGGAGTGCGACCAATTTTTCAAGAATGGAGTGCAGAAGGCCCTCCGGAAGCCATGCCCAATCTCTTGAGAACTCCCCTGTGAAGGCCATTCCAGTAGCTACGGTAGGTTACCAGCAAAGTACAAATATATAGGGGGAAAATTTCAACGACACCCCTTATAGTTTATTATATTTTAAAAAATACCATTTTTATTATTTAAAATATCATTAACACTCTTTTTAGTTTATATTTAAACATTATTAACACTATGTCGTTAAACCACCATTTTTAACCCAAAAAAATTATCAAAAATACTAAAATTGTCTATACACAAATCCCAAACAATCTTTCTATACAACATTCAAGGCAATTAAAATTTATTTTTTTACATATTAAAATTTAAGCCAATTAAAATTCGATTCAAATTGATTAAATTTTTTTTTACGTATTAAAATTTGAGCCTATTAAAATTCTTTTTTATGTATTAAAATTTGTGCCGATTTGAGCTCTACCTAAGCTATTAATTTTTAATCTGCTTAAATAAAATTTTAATCTGCTCAAATTTTAATACGCAAAAAAATAAAATTTTTAATCTACTCAAATTTTAATATGTGAAAAACGAATTTTAATATGTAAAATATGAATTTTAATTAGCTCGAATAGAAATTTTAATATATAAAAAAAAATTAGAAAATAGATAGGTCTCATTTAAGATATGTCTATCTAGAAAGAGTGTGAATAAAGTTTTTTCTAAAATATATCTTGGATAATTTAGTAAAATTATCTTATAGTTAATACTTTTAATATAATAAGGGTGTCGGTGAAGATTTAAAAAATAGAGAGAGTATTCTTAAAAATATGTTGAACTAAAAAAACTGTGACTAATATATATATAGAGCAGCGCGATTATGAAAATTTTGCATCGTAGTCTCTAGTATGTACCTTTTACGTAGACCGTTGGATCCTGATCTAATGGCTAACAAACAAAGATGCTCTAAATCAATCCCTTTCATATTTGTCGTTGTGTCAATTTTTCACACCTGCACCAAGAACCTGTTGAATTGATACAATATAACTAGACATCAAATTACCTCCAGAAAAACAAAATCTGCAATTGATTGCCGACTTTAAAAAGAGTTGGACAAGTAATATCACTACTAGTGTTTCAATATTCTAAATTCCAGCAATGACGGTAAATAATATCATTACAGTGGAATTTAATGAACATATTATACTTTTGTCCCCAATTAAAAAAAAATAAGCTTTAAGCAGTAAATTGAAATTTAAAAATTACACTGGCTTATTAAATCAATCTGCCAAACATAGCTCATCAATACTACCACTTTTGGACTTTTAACCTAAAAGCTACTTAACCAAAGCCTTTAACAACCCATTATTTAACCAACTAAACAATTAAGTGACCAATTGATTAAACTATTTTGTCAATTCAAGTGCAACAAAGAAAGGGCATGAATCATAATGTAAGAAATTACCTGATTCAATGAATATACGACAGAGTTTGAGTATAAGGCAAGGGCATGAATCATGCAGTTAAAGTCGATAGTTCTACAAATTTTTCTGTGGACTTCCATTTGCCTTATGAAGTTCGAATGACTCTTCTTTAGGATGTCAGGGGTGTGCCAATGTTACGAAGGAAGAGGGTTGTTGTGTTTGATGACATGGGTTAAAGCTTGATTTATGGGCACAATATGTTTGATAACATGGGTCGATCCGTTAATATTAAAGATAAGCCAATTTTTTTTTATTAACCTTTAAGACTATTCTTATAAGACTAGATCACAATTACTAACTCATAGATATTTTCTATTTAGTTAATAACTAAATTAGGCAGGTTTTGATAATGAATTTTGAGCATCTTTGATCGGTAGTCATTCGATTGGGATCCAACGGTCTATGTAAAAAGTACCTATTAGAGACTATGATGCAAAACTTCCATGATATAAATATTCCTTTCCAAGTAGAACTCCTACTAGTTCTCCGCGATAAACTAGCAAATCCTCCATAGAGAAGAAGACTTATCCAACAAGAAGCGTAACACCCAAGTTTAAATTTAAAACAATAAAAAAAAAAAAAAAAACTACGTGCCCTTAATGTTGCTAGAGTTGATAATTAGGATTAATTATTTCTTAACCCTACTCAAAAATAAAATAATTCACTAACACAGATAATAATCAGATCGATCGTGCTAATATCACCTACAAAAAATCTGATTTTGATGTGATAAACTTGTATTATACCAATGAAATATCTTATTTTATTATTATTTTTTCCCTTGGTTTGAATAATTTCACTTTTGAAGTTTTTGCTAGGTTTATCACATAGATTAAAATGTGTTTTAAATAAGGGTCTTGTGTTGGGTCATGGGTGGGTTTAATTGAGTGAAAATAGTGCTACTCTTATGTTTGTGGTTCATTGATTATACATATTCATCTCAACATTACACGATTACGGAAAATGCATGATCGATCCTAAAATGTTATGATCGATTATAAAAGTTATAAATTTTTAAGGTCAAATTGTAACTTTTAAAAATGATGTTACAATTGACTTTGAGGTTATTCATAGTCGATCATAATATTTCATATCTTTTTAGATACCATATATCATTACTCTAGCTATAAATATTGACATCGAGAAAAATCTATAGTACATGTAAAAAAATGAATTTTCAATTCATAACAACACAAAAACAGTAAAATTAATCTAATAGGACAAAATTCATTTCATAATTTTTTTCTTAATTCAAAAAATTTTTTATCTTTCTATACCGTCTCTAATGTCAAATAATTTAACCAATATATCCCCAATACCAGAAAATCTCGTTAATCCACACTTATTTCTTGATCACCCTTATTTCTTTCTTATTTTTTTCTTTGTTTACTTTAATTTTAAATTGCATAATTAAAATAAAATAAATTGCTATTAAAATAAAAATATTATACTATTCGATTTTTGATACTAAATCAAAACAAAACGTGAGAGAAGAAAGCAAAAACGAAAAGTCACTCAAATGAAGATGTGTAGCCTTGCAATGTTGGCAAAATCCAAAGGCATGGCACCTGTGAACAATTTGTATTGTAGAGTCTTCTGAAGCTACCATCAATCCACACATCAATGTCCCTGAAATCTNTAATTATTTCTTAACCCTACTCAAAAATAAAATAATTCACTAACACAGATAATAATCAGATCGATCGTGCTAATATCACCTACAAAAAATCTGATTTTGATGTGATAAACTTGTATTATACCAATGAAATATCTTATTTTATTATTATTTTTTCCCTTGGTTTGAATAATTTCACTTTTGAAGTTTTTGCTAGGTTTATCACATAGATTAAAATGTGTTTTAAATAAGGGTCTTGTGTTGGGTCATGGGTGGGTTTAATTGAGTGAAAATAGTGCTACTCTTATGTTTGTGGTTCATTGATTATACATATTCATCTCAACATTACACGATTACGGAAAATGCATGATCGATCCTAAAATGTTATGATCGATTATAAAAGTTATAAATTTTTAAGGTCAAATTGTAACTTTTAAAAATGATGTTACAATTGACTTTGAGGTTATTCATAGTCGATCATAATATTTCATATCTTTTTAGATACCATATATCATTACTCTAGCTATAAATATTGACATCGAGAAAAATCTATAGTACATGTAAAAAAATGAATTTTCAATTCATAACAACACAAAAACAGTAAAATTAATCTAATAGGACAAAATTCATTTCATAATTTTTTTCTTAATTCAAAAAATTTTTTATCTTTCTATACCGTCTCTAATGTCAAATAATTTAACCAATATATCCCCAATACCAGAAAATCTCGTTAATCCACACTTATTTCTTGATCACCCTTATTTCTTTCTTATTTTTTTCTTTGTTTACTTTAATTTTAAATTGCATAATTAAAATAAAATAAATTGCTATTAAAATAAAAATATTATACTATTCGATTTTTGATACTAAATCAAAACAAAACGTGAGAGAAGAAAGCAAAAACGAAAAGTCACTCAAATGAAGATGTGTAGCCTTGCAATGTTGGCAAAATCCAAAGGCATGGCACCTGTGAACAATTTGTATTGTAGAGTCTTCTGAAGCTACCATCAATCCACACATCAATGTCCCTGAAATCTGAAAGTTGTTCTCGAATGTAATCATTTGTAAAGTTTATGGAATTTGGTCGACATCCCGAAAAGTCAGAAGCCAAAATAGCCATGGAAAATTTATCACCTAAAAATAAAAGTATCACCACCAAGACTCTTCACTTCCATCACCCCTGCCTCTCCGTTCAGACGATTGAAAACCAGTTTGAAAATCTTGAAATAATTGTTGACCCTGTATAGACACTGTTGAACCAGCAAGAGATCACCTGTCGATTATTCCACAATACATGCGGAATCAGGGCGGTCGACAGCGTCGAAACATTCTTGGCTCCGCAACCACCTTTGCTTCCTAACAAGTCGGAGATAAATTGCTATGATTCTTTGAATTATAGTCTTTTCAAGTTGCTATCGTCAAAGCTAAATATCCACAATTCATTTCTCATGAAACATACGCAAGTATCTGTAAAGTACATGGAATTCGGTTGGCATACTAGAAAGTCAGAAGCTAAAACAGCAATTGAGTGGTTATCACTTAAGAATAGGGCATCACCACCAAGGCTTTCCAGTTCAACCCTCTCGCTTGAATTGAACTGAAGTTTGAAAATCCTGAAACTGAAATTCGGATTTTCACTATCGCCGACTGGAACCATATACCTATGAATCAAGATTAGCTCACCTGCAGATGATTCTACAATGTATGTTGACTCGTGACATTGCAACATAGTTGGCTCAACCACCTTTACAACAGAAATTGTTATCGCTAATACCACCAATGTCAATGGATACAACCATGCCCCATTGGTCCACAGCATATATTAGCCCTCTGTAACTGAGGAAATCATCGAAATACTAGTGTAGTATATTAAAAAAGCTCCAACTTTTATCGCCTGATTCAATGTATACCAGCCTTCGGGAACGACCACAAATTGCAACAACTATATAATCATTAGGACATAAAATAGGGTCAGCCGTGAGTGAAGCCTTGAGGACTTTATACCTTTCAAAACTGAGGCCATAGCGGGGTAGTCGGATAGTCCCACCAGAGAAAGGATTGATGAGGACTCTTATTGCAAGACAATGGGACTTTGAAGTTGTAGACTTTATCATCTGTGACACTGTATAAACTACGGTATTCGATTTTGAATGGCGTGGAGAGGAATGGCATCAGGCAATACGTTGCGATTCAATGACAATGATGAAATCAACTCGGCCGATTCAATTGAGACGTCTCGAAGACAATCAAGAGTGACTGAGATTCTTTACATTAAACGGAACAAAAATTGTCAGAGTCAAATACAGTCCTCACCAGTGGTGTCTCCTGCTCCTAGTATGCCTATTCTGTCAAGCACCAATATGCATTCAGTGCATGAATATACAGTATAAAACATTATTAATAGTCAGACAGTTTGTCCTTGAATTGACAGTGAACGTTAAATATTACAAATCATCTAATAATTCAAGGAAAATGGATTCGCTCTCACTTCATTTTTATTTGATGTTTTTGTTCTTTCGATATCTTAATAACGTTGTATTTAACAAAAAAAAATATGAAAATGAGAGGAATAATTACTTCACTACTAAATGATTACCAACAAAAGCAATGGACTGACATCATCATGAATTTTGTTTATTATTCAATAAATTTAAAAAAAAAAAAAAA